TAAAATCAACGTCTACATATGTATATCGTCAGTGAAAAAGTGGGCGTCCTCATTATCGTACGAAGATTGAAGATATTGTGATGACCCCCGCCTTTGAAAGCAGCTTCGTACTTCGTGAATACATACTTTTATTTAATGTAATTCCGTAAAGTTGTAGATTGGATGTTGGGCCTTCCTGCAATTAAAAGAAAACTGCTTGTTTTGAAAGCTTATTTTATCGCAATTTCGCCTGTCCTTAAGTGCAGTCATCCTTTAAAAAATTTGGCAGTTTGTCTTTAATTATTCTTCATTAAAGTGTTTAAATTATCAGCTGGATCTACACTTCTATTCAAATTAACATTATGAAAAACGTTTCTATGATATATTCAAAAACTTTACAATGAAATAAGAAATGTTTTTCATCTTCTACCGATCCTTCTTTATATAACACACAATAACGTTCTTGTGGCGGTTCATTTCTAGTTCGGCCTGTTTCAGTTCGAAAGGGAAGGATACCACATGTAAACCGTGTCATTGTGGAGCGTTCTTCTTTGTTCATATTCATCGTTACGTAAGGTTGCAATTCGAAATAATGTTTAAAATTAACAAATGTTCTCAATTTAGGTAAAGATAATATTTCAATTTCCATTCTTCTTCCTTTTATAAAGAAAGATAGACAACTCTTTCCTACCATTATCTAGAGCATTAGAAATGGAAAAAGGGGGAGGGTGTAAAGTTGACGTTATTATCTTCTTTTCATTGTAAAGAAAATTTACAAAGACATAAAAAAATATATAATTAAGAGAGAACAGAAATAGATCTATCAATGGGTAGTAACAAATGTGATTTCTTTCATTACTCGTCTTTCTAATCTTTTTTCATATTGACAACACTAACAATGACACCAGGCAGTGCTGAAAAAAAAACAACAACAAAATGTGCATATGTGCTTATCCCTTCGTTTACAAAAAGACAAAATGTTTTTATATGTGCTTGTTAGTTCAAAAGGTGATTAATTTAAACTAAAAACATATCACACGCATAACCAAACTCTAATATGTAAAAGATCCGAAAATATTGTTTAAATATAATAAAAAAAAAAACAGTTTTAACCTTTCCAAATATTTTATTCACATTATACAAAATATTAAAAAGTAGGTCAGTTATATACACAACAGTTTGAGCACTAGATGGTACGGACTTAAATATGAACTGGTGATGGTAATAAATATACAAAGAAAGAAGAAACAATTTCATTTGTATCGTCTGTAAAACGGAGATAAATTTATTGACCACATACAAGTCTCTCAAATGCTTTTATTGTGTATAATGATAAAATACACAGGTTACAGAAAAGTTACCTTAAAGACAGCACACACACAAAAATAAATCAACACAGACATATATATATATATATATATATATATATATATATATATATATATATATATATATATATATATATATATATATATATATATATATATATAGTTTATCTACCATATATATGAGGTTTTGCTTAATGTTGACAATCAGACAATCAGACACAGATATTAAAGTACAGAGATATTAAAGTACACAGTGATACAAAATTATTCCAAATAAGAAGGTTAGTGAGTCTCATTCATTTTTTTACAGAATTTTTCAAAACTTAAAAAAACACCATCCTTCAAAATTAACTTAAGAATTATGTAACTTTAAATTTCTGTAGACTGTGTAAAAAAAAGTTCGTCCTACAAATATTCATGAATTGTTTCACAAACATTCAAACATTTTGATTTCCTTCATGACAAAACAAGGGGATGAGGTCTCTGTTATTCCTTCTGTTTTTCTTCATACGAATGTTTTGTACCAGTAGAAATAAGAAGTAGCATTGAATATCTTTTATATAACAAGATGAAGAGTGTTAACTTGACCTTAAGTAAATATACTTGTAAGTACGATGGTTTCTGAAAAGATGTGGCAAAAGAGCGGAATACAGTTCTGAAAAAACATATTTGTCACAGGCACTTGTTTCTTTTATGAAATTTTACCCCTATTGTATACCAATAACAAAAGGTATATAACTCCAAATTTACATGGACTAAGCCCTCTACAACCTTCCGAGAATTGCAGTCATTTTCGACATTTGCAGTCAAATGTATTCACTACCATTCTCTTTCTACAAAATCATGTATGACATGATTTGCTTTTTTGTTTTACTTTCTACATAAACAGTATCAAATCGTTGCTTATCGACTGGAAAACTGTTTTAAACTACCATACGCTATGCAATATTCTAAGGCAGAATATCTGGTTGAACTTTGATTGTTCAACAAGCGTTTCTAGGGGAAACACCATAAAATACTGCTTTAGTTTCATGATATTATTGATGAAGACTATACTACGATCGTAGAAGAGAAGGCCAGTAAACACTTTTGCACTGATTTTTTATATAAAAGCAAAACTGACTGCAATCCCTGGAGGTCCGTATTTCATGTAACGTTAGGAATAACTTTGTGTTATTATTATACTCTGGGGTTATACTAAATGGCTGTGAAACATGCTGAAAATTAAAAAAAAACTTCACGATCTTGGTTTTGCAAAACGGAATTTTTTCTTTGCACCTCTGTCTTTTAGCAGGTAGGCAAGAGAGGAGGCTACTGAATCGATTTTGATTAGTTAATCCATTGTCAGAGACAATGCAATACACGGTACTCTGAAAAATAAGGCTAAATTGTCTAAATAGTAAAAACAGAAAGATCTGAACTTTCATAGTCCCTCTTAATGTCATACGCAACGTACCTTACCTACTGATAATTTTTCAAGAAATTCTTAATTCAAAATTATAGCACCATCAGGTGTTCATAGGCAAAAAATCAGCATGCATTACTAGGGGTTTTGAATAGATATCAAATGATGAACATTTTTGTGTTGTTCAAAGAAAAACACATAAAATTACTAAGCGTACATTCAAAATGTTTTTCATCAAAATTTGTTTTAGAAGAGGTGTACAGCACCATATATAGACATTAAAAAGTAGCATATAGGTCTTTCAATTATTGGAACTCTTCAACCCCAGGGAATAAGACAATGAAGTTCAAACTATGTTGCGCATGTCCTTAAAAATTCACTGTTTACTATTACAAAGATTGCCACTTTTCCCCCACGTTAGCCATACAATTTTGAAAAAAAACTCTTCATCTGACAGGAAGTCTAAAGAGTCATCAAAAGTGAGTACCCTCCCTGTGGAAGTAGAAATTGATCCTCATGGCACTTTTGTCACTTTTTAGTGTTTTAACAATCTGATTCTGAGAGTATATGCTAATATTTACATTTCCAATGTCTTTGTCCGAGATAAAATTTCAAATAGTAAAAATACTTTATTTCTACATAAATCTACTGGTTCATCGATAGGCGTGGTGAAAAAAAATCACGTGCGAGGCGGGACAAGTAGAGACATAAGCGGGGCTTGTAGCACGTGAATTTGCAGAATCAAGAGCATGTAAATATAAGGAATAACTGCCAGATTTTTTGGTTTCATGACGATGATCAATCGATTGGCTTGCGTGATAATTTTATGCATAAACGCCTTCGGCGTTTATGCAAACTATCACGCAAGCAAATCGATTGATCACATCATGAAACCACAAAATTAGACAGTTTTTCCTTAAGCTATTCACAAACTGACCCTGACACTAGCGTTCAAAAGCAAACCTTTAAAACTGGCGTTACAAAATACAGCAAATAGACTGAGAACATGACAGTGTTCATTAGAGTTTTGACACTGCTGCTCACAAGTAATTCTTAGAGGACAGAACTCAACAAATACGGAGAAGACTTTGGGAACTTAACAGTATTGATAAGAATTGAGACCTTTTGAATTTAGTACATAAACAATTACACTGAACTTAACAGTATTGATAAAATTGAAACCCTTTGAATTTAGTATATAAACAATCACAATGGGAATAGTCTGAAAAACAAAGCCGTGTTCATAAGAATATCAAGTAGACTTTGACACTAGAGATCACCTTAGAGACATCTGACATGAGAAATATACAAATACATAGACGAGTTTTAGAAGACAAAACCATTCATGAAAATTCACGAGTAGACCTGGCGTTAGTGTTCACTTGTAAACATCTGAAACTAGAGTTATAAATGTAGACTTCTGATACAAGAATTCACAAGTAGACAAGTTAGTGTTCATTAGTACACATCTGATGTTAGTGGTCACCAGTACACATCTGATGCTACTGTTCACTAATAGACATCTAACATTAGTGTACGCTAGCTGCATCTGAAGTAAGTGTTTGTTAGACATCTGAGTTTGTGTTCACCTGTAGACATCTGACGTTAGTGGTCATTAGTACACATCTGATGTTAGTGGTCACCAGTACACATCTGATGCTACTGTTCACTAATAGACATCTAACATTAGTGTACGCTAGCTGCATCTGACGTAAGTGTTTGTTAGACATCTGAGTTTGTGTTCACCTGTAGACATCTGACGTTAGTGGTCATTAGTACACATCTGATGTTAGTGGTCACCAGTACACATCTGATGCTACTGTTCACTAATAGACATCTAATATTAGTGTACGCTAGCTGCATCTGACGTAAGTGTTTGTTAGACATCTGAGTTTGTGTTCACCTGTAGACATCTGACGTTAGTGTTCACCTGTAGACATATGACGTAAGTGTTCACCTGTAGACATTTGACGTTAGTGTTCACCTGTAGACATCTGACGTTAGTGCTCACCTGTAGACATATGACGTAAGTGTTCACCTGTAGACATATGACGTTAGTGTTTACCTGTAGACATATGACGAAAGTGTTCACCTATAGACATCTGACGTAAGTGTTCACCTGTAGACATCTGACGTTAGTGTTCACCTGTAGACATATGACGTTAGTGTTCACGTGTAGACATATGACGTTAGTGTTCACGTGTAGACATCTGACAAAGTGTTAACCTGTAGACATATGACGTTAGTGTTCACCTGTAGACATCTGACGTTAGTTTTCACCAGTAGACATATGACATTAGTGTTCACCTGTAGACATATGACGTTAGTGTGCACCTGTAGACATCTGACGTTATTTTTCGCTACTACACATCTGACGTTATTTTTCACTAGTACACATCTGACCCCAGTGTTTTACCAGTTGTAGAGAATTGGGACACCTTTCTACCGATGTTTCTCTTTGGTTGAGTACGAACACATCGTGAGACAATTTGTCGGACTTCCTGGACCACCTGTTTAAGTGAAATCTCACAAATTAAACAGCTTAAATCTGTGACATAAAACAAAACTTAGACTAAATTATCAACACACTATTATATAATTGTAATTCAATCCTGTTCATTTTGAACTGCCTAAATGTATACCACAATCTCTCAAAAGATGCTACTTTTATCAAATCATTGAAAAATATTTACACCGCCATTTTAGCTTAGAATTTTTGTACAAAATTTAAGGAATTTAGTATGGTACCATAATGTTAACTTCTAAAATGATTGTGTCAAACTGAGTTTCTACTTACTCTTTTATCCGTGAAACATAGCGTGACAGACAACAGAAAACCCTGAAACATAGATGGAAATGTGTTTAATTGTTCACTCTAAATCTTCAAGGAAATAATAAATATGCAACAAACAACCCTAACTACTCTTAAGTTTCCATGGAAACCTTCGTTATTTCTTATGTGTCTAAATTAAACTATAAACATTGAAATCAAATTAAGAATTATACAGTTCAAACTAACTATAAAATATACAATGTATTGCATTTTAATAAAGGAATAGTATCTATATTGAAAGTTGAATATTATACAAACACATTATATGATAAAAAAGGTTTTGGAAATTTCTATTCTCTTTTTGTATTAAAAATATTTTACAACTTTTACCTGGAATGAACTGAAGAACATTTCAGCATACAGGTAAGCGACATCAAAGAAAAATGACATGATAGTAAAGATGATATAGGGGACCCCAAACAGTGGAATTAAGATGCAGATGTGCTTGGTCATCTTTCTGTAGAGAGAAAAGGACAGAAAAGGTCAGATGCAGACTGATATATAACTGTTGGAATTTCGATGGGCACTAATTGTGCTCTTTTATTAGCTGACCTGTTTTTTTTCCTATGAAGCAGAATTTATTCAAAAACTTCTCCACGAAAAGAGGAAAACACTAGCTGTTGCCTTCAATTTGACATTCAGATATTTCGACGATCTTTTATTAATTAACAATAGTTATTTTCATTCGTATGTCGACTCGATATATCCCAGTGAACTTGAAATAAAAGACACCACAGAGTCTGCTACATCTGTTTCATATTTAGACATTTTACTGACTATAGACGATAAAGGCCAATTAACAACTAAATTATATGACAAACGAGATGACTTTAGCTTTTCCATCGTCAGCTTTCCTTATTTATGTAGTAATATTCCACTATCACCTGTTTATGGTGTTTATGTCTCCCATCTTATTCGCTACTTAAGAGCTTGCTCTGAGTACGATCAATTTTTAAAGCGAGTTAGGCTACTCACTGATAAGTTGATGTTACAGGAATTTCACAGCCTCGTTTAAAGTCAGCATTTCGTAAATTTTATTGTCGTTATAATGACCTGGTTAGCAAATATAACCTATCATTTGGTCGAATTTTGGCTGACTTGTTTCATACCAATTGTTAAGCTTTTGTTTTTGTACTGAATTGACTATGGATAGTTCCGTCTACTCATTCAATACATAGGGTTTAGGGCGGGTGTGACTGGTCAACAGGGGATGCATACTCCTCCTAGGCACCTGATCCCACCTATGGAATTTCCAGGGGTCCGTGTTTTATACCCTCTTCACATATTTGTATTGTTTGTGGAATTTGTTTTAGATCGATCACGGTTCGTTATCTTTACCTTTTACATTATTACAAAAACCCACCTATATAAAAGAAGTGCTGAAAATAGTGACCTCCTACAAATATATTTCACTGTTCTACGTCATCATGAGCAGTCCTTTTTGTCATTATTTAGATATATCAGCGACGTTTAAACAATTTACATTATTTAGTTTCATTCCCATGTAGATTCAATATATCCCATTAAACTCGAATTAAAGACACATCTGTTTCATATTTGGATGTTCTATTATAAACACATTGATTACCAACCGACGGCTAAAATTTATGATAACGGTATGACTTCATCTTTTCTACCCTCAATCCCATATGCCATTATCACGTTTTTGTTTCGTTTTTGTCTCTCAGTTGTTCGACGTACAACTATTTTTTTAAAATGAGACAGACTATTGACAAATAAGGTGATGATGCAAGTATATCAACAACCTCAATTTAAGTCAACATTTTGCAAATTCTATGATCGATTCAAAGACCTGTATATATAAATTGTCGTTAGATCGAATATTGACTGAGGTAGATACAAGTATATTGTAGACTGTCGTTTACACACTGAAATGTTTACGGATTTTTTTGGTTAACTCGATTTTAACAAGGAATACACGGCGAGTGTGAGCGTGGATGCTTACTCCTCCATAGCACCTGTTCCCCGCTCTGTTTTCAGAGGCACTTGTTGGCTTTGTTCATAATTTGCATTGTTTAAATGGACTTTAGACTCACTGTTTGTTATCTTCACGTCATTATTTAAGATATTTAATTTTTTCAACTATAACATGGTACAATATACATCATTTTGATTATGTTTCAACGCAGACTAAATTTCCTTTCTTTTTTTCCCTCTAGGGTCACGAACTTCTTTTTTAAATTTCAACTTGAAACACTGTAAGTGGCTCACTGATGTTTCTCCAACAAAATCAGGCAATTAGACGTATATAACACCAAAAGGAATATAAAATCGCATGTTTTATTTATATACACACTCTTCCGAAACAGAAGGGAAAATTTACAACGGAATGGATAACCTTTAATCTATGAAACTAATTAAAATGTCTGCTTAATCAGGTGTTGCAGGTTTATATATTTCGGATTATTCATAATGATTTCTTTATCAGGCGTTGCAGGTTTATACATGTTTCGGGTTATCCATTATGATTTCTTTACTTAATCAGGCGTTGCAGGTTTATATGTTTCGGGTTATTCATTATGAATTCTTTATCAGGTGTTGCAGGTTTATACATGTTTCGGGTTATCCATTATGATTTCTTTAATCAGGTGTTACAGGTTTATATGTTTCGGGTTATTCATTATGATTTCTTTATCAGGTGTTGCAGGTTTGTATGTTTCGGGTTATCCATTATGATTTCTTTATCAGGTGTTGCAGGTTTATATGTTTCGGGTTATCCATTATGATTTCTTTACTTAATCAGGTGTTGCAGGTTTGTATGTTTCGGGTTATTCATTATGATTTCTTTATCAGGTGTTGCAGGTTTATATGTTTCGGGTTATCCATTATGATTTCTTTACTTAATCAGGTGTTGCAGGTTTGTATGTTTCGGGTTATTCATTATGATTTCTTTATCAGATGTTGCAGGTTTATATATGTTTTGGGTTATACATTATGATTTCTTTACTTAATCAGATGTTGCAGGTTTATACATGTTTCGGGTTATTAGTCCCCTACCGGTGAAACCGGAGGGGGCTATAGGTTTCCTCTGAGTCTGTCCGTCCGTCTTTCTGTCCCTCTGTCTGTCCCTCTGTCTGTCTGTCAAATAACTGTCAACTTGGTTTTCCGCACTTTTTCCCTAAACGCTTGCAGATATTGAGCTGATTTTTGGTATGTGAGTGTATCTTGATGAGTTACAGATCAAGTTTGCATTTCGTTCCGCTTCATTGATTTTTGACGGAATTATGGCCTTTTCAAGTTTTAACGGGAACCAGATTATCTTGCCGGTAGGGAACTAGTATGCTAATGGAATACTCTCAGAATGCTTGTTCATTATGATTTCTTTTTCAGGTGTTGCAGGTTTATATGTTTCGGGTTATTCATAATGATTTCTTTATCAGGTGTTGCAGGTTTGTATGTTTCGGGTTATTCATTATGATTTCTTTATCAGGTGTTGCAGGTTTATACATGTTTCGGGTTATCCATTATGACTTCTTTATCAGGCGTTGCAGGTTTATATGTTTCGGGTTATCCATTATGATTTCTTTATCAGGTGTTGCAGGTTTGTATGTTTCGGGTTATTCATTATGATTTCTTTATCAGGTTACAAGGGAATATCTAACCTTTACTCTATGAGACTAATTAAACGTCTGCTGAATCAGGTGTTACAGGTTTATATGTTTCGGGTTATCCATTATGATTTCTTTATCAGGTGTTGCAGGTTTATATGTTTCAGGTTATCCATTATGATTTCTTTATCAGATGTTACAGGTTTGTATGTTTCGGGTTATCCATTATGATTTCTTTATCAGGTGTTGCAGGTTTGTATGTTTCGGGTTATTCATTATGATTTCTTTATCAGGTTACAAGGGAATATCTAACCTTTACTCTATGAGCCTAATTAAACGTCTGCTGAATCAGGTGTTTCAGGTTTATATGTTTCGGGTTATCCATTATGATTTCTTTATCAGATGTTTCAGGTTTATATGTTTCGGGTTATCCATTATGATTTCTTTATTAGGTGTTGCAGGTTTATATGTTTCGGCTTATCCATTATGATTTCTTTATCAGATGTTACAGGTTTATATGTTTCGGGTTATTCATTATGATTTCTTTATTAGGTGTTGCAGGTTTATATGTTTCGGGTTATCCATTATGATTTCTTTATTAGGTGTTGCAGGTTTATATGTTTCGGGTTATCCATTATGATTTCTTTAATCAGGTGTTGCAGGTTTATATGTTTTTACATGTTATTCATTACGATTCATTATGATTATTATTATATTATTCATTATGATTACTATTATATTATCCATTATGATTATTATTATATTATTCATTATGATTATTATTATATTATCCATTATGATTATTATTATATTATCCATTATGATTTCTTTACTTACAATATAGTCCCTCTGTTATTATTGGTTTTCCTTTTCAAACAATTTCTTCTCACTCTTTTATACATGAACGTCACAATCCTGCTAAAATACAGGAAGTTTGCCTGAAAGTAGAACATTTTTATTAAACTCTCATTCAAGGAAGCCTAAAAATTAGAAGCTTAAAAATTACAAGACAAAAATAATTTCAATGTGAACAATCTCACCAAGTTCATAAAAATAATGGGTACTCTGTAAATCCACACAGTCCATAGTCGTGGATTAGTATTCCAACATCTAAATGAATGCAAATATGTCTTATTCGATATCTCACTTAATTGTAACAAATAATAAGGAGAATACTCAATTTGTCGATTTCGACAGAGGCAATTTAAGCCAATGTTAAGTCGAATAATGAATATGAACTTACAAATAATCTTCTGCAAAAGTTCGAAAAAGAGCCCATGCGATAACAATTACCAAAGGCCCAACTGCAAAAATAATAAAACTCCTTAAAAAGCAAGAAAGCAATTTAGGAATAAAGATCCCGCAAAGCGAGTTTAAAAGCCGAGATATATTTTCTTTAACATTTCCTTCGACTAAATTTTTACAAAGGGGAGCGCTATGTAAATATTCTTAAAGAAAATTATCCCAATACATATTACAAAGTACTTAGAAAGTTTTCTTATATTCAAATCAATCATATTGCTTAGGTATAGTATAGCAGCCGTTACAGTATCTTAACCAATGATTATAATAGAGATGTTCTCTTTCGATATATTTGATTTTAGTTTCCTTACCCCACCCTATGGCAATGTGCAGGCGTGTGTATCTTTTCTTTTCGAGGTACCAGGGATCTTTATCGATGAGTTTTCTCAGAACATGAGCGTCCATAGTAAGCCAGAAGGTACTGGCCACTAATGTGTAAACGAAGAAACTCACCAGGAGCTTACACTCCCAGTGCTGTAAATAGACAGAAGTCACAGAGAATTAGTACGAGAGAGAGAGGGGGATTGCATAAGTACCCCCTTGGCTTATAGAATTAGCCCTTGAGAGAGAGAGAGGGAAGAGAGTTCAATAGTTTTATTTTGTGACTAAGAATTTCAAAAAAGCTTTTGGTCAAATGGGGCAATTTGAGTCCAATGAAATGTACGGAGATAACGAACAGTATTTAAGCTCAAAAGTCCATTAAACAATACAAATTTTGGAGCAGAGCAAGCACGGACCTCCAAAATATTTTTTTTAATTTCAAAATAGCCATTTAAATGACAGCATTTCTAGATTTACAATATACATTTCCAGACATGTCTGCTGTTATGACATTCATGTCTACATGCGCTGAGAGCTTTTCCTCCCAAACTGTCATAAAATGGGTTTTCATGACAAATTTTTACAAACAGCATGCTAGTAATGATCTCACCGGACCATCGTCCTTGAGTCCCAACAGTTCTCCGTTGTGCAGAATATCTTTGGGGAGGGCAAAGCCATCCACCAGAAAGTAGTCCTTCAGTAGTGAAGCGGCTGCTCGCAAGATGTAACTGAGGAACATGTTGATATGTAGTGTTGTGATTTTAGATCGAGTTCTTTTACAATTCAAAATAGCTCTGTTAGAGACGAAATGAAAAGTTAAGCAATTAAATGATAATCATCGAAATAATTTCTGAACAAAAAGTTTTTCACCGTTAGAAAACAGTACTTAGAGTAGGAGGAATTGATCAGATTCAATAAAGAAATTCAATATACTTTCGAGATTTAACGTAAAAGTATATGATAGGACTCAACGTATTAAGATTTACAGATACTTTAACAAATCGTGAATCTAAATTTTCTTTGTTACTAGCTATTTTCAGATAAACTGCTTTGATGTGTGGACGTCGTAATATACTTTATTTGGATTGATGAAACGTCACAACTAATCCACATGAGTTAAAGTAATGACGTCATAACCTACCTGTATCTGAGTTGAAGAAGAACAACGACAGCCACGATTAGAGACACCAGAGATACTGCGTAACCAACAATAGACATGATCTGTATGCGGTCGAGATGGGGCTGAAAGTTATTAAAATGATGGAAACTTAAGTAAATACGCCTTCAATGTTAGTTTTAATGTTTAAAGATGTGTAATATATTTATTTATTTATCGATTCATTTATCGTTAGCAGGTGCTGTTACAGGACCGAAGACATCCAAAAAAAAATTCAATGCTTATTTTACATTCTCTTATGTTCTTTCTTTTTAATTGTTAATTTTAAACATAAAATTTTTATATTTTATACAAATTGATAGGGTAATCGTTTTCATCTAAACTGAGTAAAACATATTGTTAACATTTATTCTTCAATAAGCTTTTAGAATATAATATTTTTTTCAACGTGTTAACTAATCAACCGTCGTCACATGGTTTGTTTAACATCTTTGGGACATTATTACATAATTTAGATGCACATCAAATTATAAGGTTATCTTTTGTTCTCTTAGATTCTTCTAATTTTTTATTGGATTAGAAAGTAAAAAAATTAGAAAATAAAATTAAATATACGAAAACTTCTCTGCACTAATTCTTTCAAACATCGATGATCTACGCGGTACTCATTCTGTCAGGTTTGGTCAAAGATCTGTAAGTTTGGTTTTGTTAATTGATAGTTTACAAAAAGAGCGTTTTCCTCAAATTGATTTTTCTTTATGTATCTTCTTTATGATCTTCTTTTCTTAATTATATCCTGTGTTTTATTTTAGAGCCGCAGATTGAAATACAAGAAGTACACGTATAGATTAACACGGAATGCTAGACATGGATAGGTTCACGTACTTATGGGCATTACGGAAGTCATTTCTCTAGACGAAGTTCATTTATTATCAATGACAACATAATCTGAATATAAAATATATAACAACTGTTACAGGTTTGTATTGTTTGAACATGAATATCTTTATATTTTTCTGAAGATATATTTCTTTGATAAAATGCTTATTCGAACTTTAGGTGTTTTCAACATAATTTCTATTCAATAAGACTGTTCCGGAGTATATTTGCTATTGATTCGTTGTACAAAAAATACATATAATAAATATATCATTCATCATAAGAACTATTTTCCGTTATATAGGTTATAAAGTATCTACGATACAGTATAAGATTTACATTGAAGTGAGTTATTCTTGGTATACTTGGTATAAGGCGAGAAACGACATAAAAATCGACTTTGAAAACTAAAGGCAAATACATGAATAATGAAGATGACGAGCAGTAATCAAGCTCAACAGTACATTGAAACAACACAAATTCGGAGCAGAGCAAACATGGACCTCTAAAAAGATCAGAGGTGGGATCAGGTGACATTGAGGAGTAAGCATCCCATGTCAACAGGTCAAACCCGCTGTGGGCTTCTTTTTATGATTGGGTAAGCGGAAAAATCCGTTTACAATTCAGTGTGAAAATAACTGCTTAACAATTCTTTTTAACATTTGACTTCATAATAGGCTGTATTTGCTAACAATGTATCGACCATAGAATTTGCTAAATGTTGACATAAAACAAGACTATTGATATCCTTGTATTCATCTTATTTGTCACAGCTTGTTCGTGCTTAGAAAGTCTACTGCGTATCGAATCAACTGGGAAACATAAACTCCATATACAGGTGTATGTTTTATTAATGTACTTGGTAAATTAAAGAGTAATAAATATAAAAATTGTTTATACACCAATTTCAAAGACAGAAGCTGAAACAAGTGAGAAATAAAAAAAGTTAACTTGAATTCATGTGCTTATCGAAATTTACTATATTTATATATCAAGAATTAATCAAAGTTACATGATGATAAATTTGATTCATACTTATTGCGATCAGAACTCAAAATATTTTTTTTACTTCTTCATATTCAAACCGTAAAAGTTTCAGTGAATATCGTAAAAAGAAAAAAAAAATCCTTTTTGATGATCGTGAGTGGATTTAGAATGATCGAAGAAAACTTACCATCCTCTCCTATGCACCATAATTAAGACATGATTCCTATTAGAATCATTGAAAATTGCATACTGATGGGTGAAGGACAATTACCTGGACTTTTAATGTTAGCTGAATTAAACAGAAATAAATTATAGACGGGGTAGACGGTGTAAATGAATACACAGAGGAGGAACTCCTTTATTATTGCACGCTAGAACTAACGAATTTGACGGACGAACGCACTGACCAACGAGGTCGAGGAATTTAGGATTTTATAAAATAAAGTTTGCTCACATTTATAGATTGCCACCTTTTTTCTAGGGGTATACACCCAGTGAAGTCCGTCCATGATCTGTTGTAGACAGGATGGATATACCATGTACCGTTATCTGTGCAGGTTTTCCTTGCAAATCCTGAAAATGTTCCTGGATTATTAACTCATAATTACTCAGAGAAAACCGAGAAGGATCAGATTGTCTGAAGCAACGATAATGTACTAGTAATTTATTTCTTTAGGAAGGACTTCATTAATAGAACCTTGAAAGCAATCATAATAATAAACCCTATATTTTCTGCTGTTCACAATAACTGCTCTCGACTTATCTTCACTCACACGTTTTAAGCTCATTAAACCAAACTAGTTCTTCCAAATTAAGCATCAAGTAAAGAGGGGTTCTTTTTGTCCCTTCATTAGTATTAACGACAGGTAGAAACTGTACATATACCGTATTAGATGTATTTCTGTGGGAAAGCCTATGTTATATGTACTTTGTATTCAACCCAAATCTGTAACAGCGACTATTAGTATCTAAATAACCCTGTCCCGACCGGAAAAATATTTCACTTGATTAAATAATGAAATAAAAACCAAGACATAAAATCGATAAATCACACTTGTAACTCTTCTCAGAAGAGCTATAAAACGTAGATAATTGGGATTATCTTCATTAAAACTGTCTGAAGAACTGTATTGCACCACAAGCTAGATAGCCTTAACCCACAGGTGTAAAATGGCATGGACATTTATCATGATTTCGATATATATATATATATATATATATATATATATATATATATATATATATATATATATATATATATATATATATATAAATACTATGTTTCGAAAAAAGATGCTAAAAGTAGGAGACATTATAGGGGGAACTTTTTATTCAATCTTTAATTTCTTTGATTGGAATGTTAACCGAGCGTAACAAAATGACCGACATTGGGTTATGAAATATAACTTTCTAAATGAATTATTTTTCACCTTTTTTCTTGCTTTCAGTTGTCGAGTTCTTTTTATTTTTTATTACTGAATACTTTTATTATTCCCCAATATATTGTGCAAATTTTGAAAAACATATAAATTGTATGAAAATTTCTATATGCTTACCGTGTAAAAGAAACTTATGTATGTAATTGGGACACGGCTGTTTAACAGTGACACCAGCTTCTGTAGCATTCCAACAGGTCACGTGATCCCAGACTGGCGGGCATGTCAAATCTGTTAACATACAAGTACTGACGTAGATTTTGTTTTCTTTGATACAAGCTTTGTTCGACTAAAATAAAGAAAGACAAATTTATTTAAGGACCCCTCTAATTTCAGGGTACTCTTGTGTAGTTAGACTGACCCACCATTTGAAATAAATTAGAATAAATTGTAATCTGCACTGTATGACATAATTTAAAATAAATCCAACTATTATAAAAATATTATTATACAAAGATAGAGCAGTTAAAGACTTTATTTGCATGCATTTTCTCCATTTGAGTAAGCAAAATCGATTTTTCTTTATCATTACTTCATATTCACTTCTATATATTTACTTCTTATTCATATTTGGATATTTTACTTGAAAAAGACGTTAATGGTAATCTAACAACCAAGCTTTATGATAAAAGTGATGACTTTAACTTTTCAATCGTCAACTTCCCTTACTTATGCAGCAATATACCTTCATCACTTGCATGCGGGGTTTATATCTCTCAGTTATTCGAAACGCAGAGCATGCTCTACGTATATACAATTTCTAAAACGAGGTAAATTATTGACAAGCAAGTTAATGAAACAAGAATATCAGCAGTCTCGTTTAAAGTCATCATTTCGTGCGTTCTATGGTCGATACAATGACCTTGTCAGCAAGTACAATTTATCATTGAGTCAAATGCTGACTGACGTTTTTCATACTAATTGTTAGGCCATTACACACTGAATTGTCGTCGGATTTTTCGGTTAATTCCCGATCATGACATGGAGCACACGGCGTGTGTGACCGGTCGGCAGGGGATGCTCACTCCTCCATGTCACCTCTGATGTTTTGGAGGTCCGTGTTTGCTCTGCTCCTATTTTGTGTTGTTTAATGGACTTTTGATCTTGAATACTGTTCGTTATCTCCATATATTTTATTCATTGTCATAAATGAAATATGGAGATAACGAACACGCGGCAAGGATAAGGCTGCCCGAAGAATGTCACAGTGTACCAGCCGTAGTAACTTCTCTGAACTACCTAGATATGACGTCATAATGGCATATGACGTCAAGTCACTGCAAATTTGAGCAGACATGACGGGGAAAGTGTCATAACCTTTACATTCCTTTCACATCACATGTAGATTTTTTTAAGTTGATGTTTAATTCATGTGTCTGGATTGTTGTTTTAACGCTGTTATGGTGGTGAATATTTGCAGTATAAAATCGTTAATCCTTTTTCATGTCTAACATGTACGTATTCAAACAATTACAAGAAAAAGAATGTGAAATGCTCCCCCTTACACGTCCATAGACAGAGTTAAAATTTATAAATCTTATATATATATTAGACTGGCACAAGTGAATAATAAGGATTAATTGAAGATATTCTGTGTGAATCAACTAGAGAATTATGTCCTCTAAATGAATTTCGCTGGGGGATTGTATGTAATTTATCCCATTTTGTATAAATTGCGATGAAGAGTGGAAAATGACCCCTTGTATGCTGGTAAGTTGAGTTTCTCGTGAAATATTTTCTTAAGAAATAAAATTCAGACTTGCCCCAAGAACTTTATATATACTCAAGAATACGTTTAATTGATTTATGTAACAAGCCGTTCACAATAATTTTGTTTTTCACTTGTGCCGATGCGATTTTTGTGCAACATTAAAGAAAATTTATAAGTGTCCATCACGTGATCAACACAGTCATATGACATCACAAAAATGCTTTTTATAATACCTTATTCAATTCCCTTTACAACTTTAGTGTGTATGTATACATAGATATCGAATTTAAATCAATACAAAGCTCAAAATAAAATAGTATATATCTTATGCATATTAAGCCTTCGGGTAGCCTTAACATAGCTGCGCAGTATTCAAGCTCAAAGTCCATTAAAACAATGCAAATTGGGAGAAGAACAAACATCAGAGGTGGGATAAGGTGCCATTAAAGATTTTTCCAGGAAAAAAAGGCACGCTCTTCATCTAAAACATGAATTAGTGAATTTCAAAATGTCCTCCTTCACGCTATATAATTTTTTTAAAAGTCTAAAAACATTTTTCCATCAGTGTATAGAGGGTCCTTAAGACACTCCTCCAGTCCTTACTTATATTATATATATATATATATATATATATATATATATATATATATATATATATATATATATATATATATATATATATATATATATATATATATATATATATATAACTAAAAATGACCAACGACAATAGAAATTGTCAAATTTTCGGGACACCCTGTCCCTTCCTCAGGACAAAGAAGAAAAAGGGTTAAGAAGTCATAAAAACAAAGGAAATAGAAAAACAAAAACGGCTAGCACTACTACTAAACTACCAAACACTATTTATTTACAATGTTACATGTTGAATTTGAATTTTATAATCAGTTGTAAAGAAATAAATCCGGACCGCTATGAAATACGTCCGGTCTCTCGGGTGTACTCTGGTGAAGTGCGATTTACATAATTGAACGAAATAATTATCGCTAATTAATTACGGCCAAGCAGTAAGTCGTACACTGTCTTATTCTCTCAAAATAGCTTAACTTTACATAATAAAAAGAAACCAAAGAAAGAAAATTTAGATGTATTATAAATACATATAAATTATAAAATATAAATTATAAAGAGGTCTTTAAGGAACCTCCATTGGCTGCCTACAGGCGCCCGAGGAACTTAAAGGACATGGTAGTTAGAACCAGATTGGACAATCCATTACCTAACGGAGGCTTTAGAGCTTGCTCTGACAGAAGATGTCTTCTCTGTAAGCACAGTTCTGACACAGACAGCTTTAAAAGCCCCGTTACAGGCCGCAGCTACAGAATTCTAGGGAATTTATTTTGTCAAACAGAAAACTGCATATATCTCATCAGTTGTAAAGTTTGTTCCATACAGTACGTTGGGGAAACGGGAGACATCAGCAGAAGAATCAATTATCACCGCTCGACCATTAAGACCAAAAAACTCAATGAACCCGTTGGGGAACATTTTAACCTTGAAGGTCACAAATGGGAGGACATGACAGTAGTGATTATTGACCATAATCCGAATTGGACCGATGCTCAGAGAAAAAGCAAGGAAAAGTTCTGGATGCACAGACTGAAGTCATTCCGCCCTAATGGTATCAACAAATTAAATGACTTCACCAGGATGAACGTGAACTAGACCCAATTCCTGATTGTAACAAACAAGTTTATTTTCTCTATATAGTGTTAACTTTACCGTTAATTCGCTTTATCAATTCTGGAACAACCCACGCATAGATTTTTTGCTTACATTTTTGTTTATTATTTCTTTTATCCGATAAACAGTCCTAAAACATTTCCAAATTACATTTATAATACATCTAAATTTTCTTTCTTTGGTTTCTTTTTATTATGTAAAGTTAAGCTATTTTGAGAGAATAAGACAGTGTACGACTTACTGCTTGGCCGTAATTAATTAGCGATAATTATTTCGTTCAATTATGTAAATCGCACTTCACCAGAGTACACCCGAGAGACCGGACGTATTTCATAGCGGTCCGGATTTATTTCTTTACAACTGATTATAAAATTCAAATTCAACATGTAACATTGTAAATAAATAGTGTTTGGTAGTTTAGTAGTAGTGCTAGCCGTTTTTGTTTTTCTATTTCCTTTGTTTTTATGACTTCTTAACCCTTTTTCTTCTTTGTCCTGAGGAAGGGACAGGGTGTCCCGAAAATTTGACAATTTCTATTGTTCGTGTCGTTGGTCATTTTAAGTGCTTTATTTAAATTTCCATCCTTGACCTTGTATCTATTTAGTAGATCCGACACTTAGGATATACAGTGTTGTTGGTTTTTGTAGTGCTTTATATATATATATATATATATATATATATATATATATATATATATATATATATATATATATATATATATATATATATATATATATATATATATATAGTTTTTTTTTAGATCGATCATTGTGCTTCATCTTCACCTTTTTCATTTTAAGTATTAGGAAAATAAATAATTTAAAATTTACGGATGATGCTTAAAATTAAGGGAAGTTTTGTGAATATCGTGTGGATCATAAACCAGAGATTTTTTAACCAAAGACAAATATTGAAATTGCAATGTCATTATTAACAAGAGGTTTGTCCACCAACTTAGGGCACCACAATCTATTTTTAGCAATTCCCCGTGATTACAAGTAAAAGCGATTTAATATAATTATATATTTTTAAAAGATATACTCCTCAATGGCACCTGATCACACTTCTGATGTTTTCAGAGGTCCTTGTTTGTATTGTTCAGACTTCTGAGCATTATAACTGTTCGTTTCCTTAACATTCATTTCATGTGCCTCACTTACATATACGTTTTTGTATTCCAAGCATTTAAGTAAGAAATCTTTTATAATTGAATTTAGTAGGTTGTTATATACTTTAATATTGCTTTATTGATAGTCTTATTTCATTGCATTGCTCTTAGAATACTCTGGGAGGGGATTCTATATCACTGTGACCTTTCCTGACACGATTAAAAAAATGTCCAAAGGTAAAATTTTAAGATAATTCCTTTTTGAAAATACACTTTTCAATTCAAATTTTCCCCAAATAGGACAATAGTATAGAACAGATTAATTCTGGATATTCCATTTTTTTTCCTAAAAATATGTATTGTTTTTCTTTGTTTGAAAGATTTTGCTTTTTGATAAATAACATTTTAATACATATTTATGTCCGTAGGATTTATTTAATTTCTTTCTACTCATTCTAAAAGTACAGAGATATCATGAGTTACGGAAGTAAGGGAACCTCATCAATTATCTTTGGCAGTAAATAAAATAAAACAAATTTCAGTAACAAAGAACCCAATAAAGTTCGTCTCCCCTATGAGCGGGATGTGTTCACCTTATCGATTTAGCGGCTGTAAATTTATCTTTTGATTGCCTTTGACACACAAATCAGTGTTTTGTATAATACATCATAACATGCGTTCGTTAGGTGCATATGAATTTCTAATGGGAGATCCTAGTCTTGTTTTTTCAGATAGCTGGCAGAATATCATCTAGTTTTTTCCATTTGAATTCCTCATTGAATCAATGACACCAAATTACTCTCAAAATATTCCAAAGTTTTATTCAGATTTTGCACGAATGGCATTGGCAATTAATGAAGTAATAAAATGTTTATTTTAAAAAGATTTAAGTTTTTGATGCCATTACTACACAAACTGTTACATTGCGTAAAGTGTACTTATCTTAATACTGATTTTTTAAATAAACACCTACAACATTGTTATTTGGTACACTTAACCAAAGTGAGATCTGTAAGGACAAGTTTATTTCAGTCGGAAGGAACTTGACAATAAGATCTGTAAAGGACATAACAAGATAATTAAAAAATAAAAGAGACAAAAAAGAACAAAGGCCAACATTTTAAACTATAAAAACACAAACCACCACAAGATGATAGTTATTACAAGTCTACAAAGTCGATTGACATTTACCGAGGTATATAAAAAGAGATTCGGTCATGATATACTTTAAAACTGATTAAAAGATTCATGGATAAAAGAGAAGTGTATTTGTATAATTAAGAAAGAGGGCATATAGATCAAATACAGGGTAGAAAGAAAGACGCGGATAATGAAGTAGCACTAGCAGACAGTTCTGTACTTTAAGACTGAGTTCCAAGTCTAAGAAAATATTCCTAGTTTCCGTAGGACTCCTAGAATTTCAGAGATACCTAAAGGGGAGATGTACTTTCAATATTGGAAGAACATTTTTAACAATCAGGCCAAAGAGATTATTAAATTTACCAAAAGGAACAGCTTAATCAGTAGGTGTGCAATCTTCCTTGTACTGACTACAACCTTACATATAGTCATACATAGTTCTTTGACATCATGTTCAATATGAATTTACAATCATCCTTGTGTTCTACATAATGATTAATCAGAATTGATTTATTGGAATCTAGTTAAATCACTGCATCGACATATGAAATTATCGATGTAATCACTCAGGAAAACAATGACTACAAGATGGTCACTCTTTCAGTTATACCATAACTTTCCGAAAATAAAAATGACTGTTACGCATTGTAAATAAGCATAAATGCATTAGTACTTGCTTAAATTATGATAAAGTTTAATTGAATATTATGGATAATTTTGGTTAAACTTCTTCATTTTTTTTTAAAATAAAAAATTAACTATACTTTAAGATGCACCAGGGAAGGTGATTGCTATATTTGCTTGACTTTGGGAGACCAGTATCTGCTCTTTGTTGCATCACGACAGATGTAGTCCTTATTTCCGTGATTGTGCAGCGTGATAAATATTCTCGCCTATATTAAACTGATTTCTTTATCTGATTACCAAACACATTCCATTTACTCTTTTCTATTACCCTTTCTATAGCAATGTTCCCCAGATCATACAGTAAATATGAAATCTAGTGTCAATTGCGCAAAATGTTAGTTATTAGAAAACTGTCATATCATGTAACACTACGACAAACCCCAATAATATTTTTTTCACAGGTTGTTAAAATTTATCATAACACAAAGATTTTAACTCTTACTGCCAGTTCATGGTGCGAGGCCAACGATTCTCGGTATAACGGTAACTCATGCTGTGAGGCCAATGTTTCAGGTACCACACCCATCGTACAATTAGCTAGCAGTTTATCTACGTGCTATTAATATTGATATAGAGAGGAAAACATATTTCATTAAATATGTTATTTGCTGGATTTCATTTTTATGTCCAAAATGATGGCATATCTTCATAAATTAATCATTAATTTGATGTTTCTTTTAATTACCTCCGCTTTTGTTATTTTTTCCTGTGGTAAGTATGAACGCTGACAATTTTGTTGCCTACGGTCGTTCACCGGTCGTGGGTCGACATAAATGACTATTTTGATACGGTTGTTCGCTTACCATGAGTCAACATAAATGACTATTCTGGTACTGTTGTTCACCTGTTTTGGGTAAAAATAAATGACTATTCTGGTACTGTAGTTGATTTGCTTAAGTAAGTATTCTTGCTATCGACAATCTTACTTCGAATTATTCTTTCGTCTACATGTTTAGATCTGGGTTACTGAATACTTGATGTTAATATTTTGCATTGCTTCCAATAAAATCACCAATATTCGTTGGGGGGCTGGTTTATTTTCCTTGTTTTCGTGATAAAAATACAAATTCATGTCTTTCACAAATGTTAAAATTTTAAACTACATTTAACATAATTGTCTACCATCGCTTCTTCAACCATGAAATCAAATTCCCACGAACAAATAATTTTTATTCCAACCACAAAAATAAGACCATATGAAATTAATGATTTAAAAGTAGTTGTTTTTTTTTTGGGGGGGGGGGGGGAGGTTCTAAATAAAATATAATTTTATTGTTTTTCCATTGAAACTGAAAACGTATTTTGTTTTCTTCTCGTGTCTAAATATATAAGAGATGCTTTTGTTGTTCATCTTTACTTTTAACAATGCATCATTCTTAATTTCACGGATTTCTGTAGTGCATGAAAATTTACGACTTTCTTTTTTTCTTTCAGTGGATCTAGGGTCTAGATAACTGACAAATTAGTTTTAGTTATTCGTATTTCAGACAATTTAGTTGCTAACTTTTACTTGTTAGGAAACCTGACAATTTAGTTGTTTACTCGCTGTTGTTTGTTGTTACAGATAATTTTGTTGTTTACCTGTGAATCTGTATTACCCATTATTTTGCTATATATCTGTAGTTGGTGAGAAAACCTGTATTTTGCTATATTCAATGTGAATTATGTTGATTTTTTGTTATATACCTGTATTTGGTTAGAATTTTACTGCTGAATTTTTTTATATACCTGTATTTGGTTTAAATTATATTGATTCTTTTAAATTATATACCTGTATTTGGTTGAATTACACTGATTTTTTTTTTTATTATATACCTGTTTTTGGTTTGAATTATACTGATTTTTTTTATTATATACATGTATTCAGTTTAAATAATACTGACGTTTCTGTTATATGCCTGTATTTGGTTTGAATTATACTAATGTTTCACTTATATACCTGTATTTGGTTTGAATTATACTAATTTTTCTGTCATATACTTGTATATATTTGAAAAATACTGACTTTTCTATTTTTACTTGAAGATGGACTAAAATTCATACTAAATACAATAGCAGTTTTTTTTTTCCTAAGTTGGTGTAAAATGTGAAGAAAACGAACAGGAACAACCTCATAAATCCAGTAAACAAAACATGAACTGGCCAAAAACACAACCCCAGGAAACATCAGAGGTGGGATCAGGTGCCTAAGAGGAGTAAGCATCCCTTGTCGACCGGTCACACCCGCCGCGAGCCCTACGTATTGATCAGATATATAGAAATTCCGTCTGAATTATTTTGGTGCATACTTGTAAGCTTGTTTTGATTAGTGACTACTTCTTTCCCTATATGTTTTCGATCCGGATCTTTTACGAGTGTTAGTGTCTCCTTTGATTAGTTTTTTTTTACCTTTAGTGAGTCGGGACTGCTAAATAAAGAATTTACATTTAGTTTCTGCTTCTGAATTTTACCTGCAGTGAGCAGGGACTGCAGGATCAAGCATTTACATTTAGTTTCTGCTCCTGAATTTTATCTGCAGTTGTCCTGTACTGTTGGATCAAGAATTTACATTTAGTTTTTGCTTCTGAGTTTTACCTGCAGTGGGTCTGAACTCCTGGATCAGGAATTTACATTTAGTTTCTGCTTCCTTTCTTCTTTTCATCTGCTCTTGGAATGACACTCTGTATTCCTGAATTCGATAAAAATATAACATATCAATACAACTGAGCCCACCTAAATCTCATAATAATCACCCATTTCAGTGTTTGATGATATGAGTCATGACTTATTATCAGTACATTTATAAATTATCATTTTATCATAGAAATTTGTCTTCAGCTACCCATGATTTGAGTGCATATGATATAAAAATAAGCAAGAAGGGCGGATAGTCATGTATGAATACAAAAAAATGTTTAATAATGGATATTAAATGAGGACCCTGTATAATTTTACAAGTGGGTGATTGACGATATCGCATTTATTCGAGGATATATGACTTAATCCGTCAAGACATTTGGTCCTCTGGCAAGTTCAATTTGTGCTTCGTGTTTCTGGAACAATAAAAGCTGGATCATTATTGTATTATCACGCACTATTTAAGTTTTAAACTGTATCAGACCTTGACTGTCTAGGTCATTCTAAGATCCTGAAAAGAAAAATAGAACTGATTGAATGAAAACAAAGTATGCACTTCGAGTACATCTTCTTCTAAATCTGGAAGCCAGAGTGTGCATGGAACTATAACTATATACATACAAAATAGAGTAGACAAGGATAATTATATATATATATATATATATATATATATATATATATATATATATATATATATATATATATATATATATATATATATATATATAATATGGAGATAACGAACAGTAATTGAGCTCAAAAGTCCACTGAAACAATACAAATTGTTAACGGCACAATCACGGACTCCTGAAAACTTCCGTTGTGTACATTTTACATGATGTAACGGGTAGGATCAGGTGCCATGGATGTGACAGGTAGGATCAGGTGCCATGGAGGAGTAAGTATCCCCTATCGACCAGTCACACTGTCGTGCGCCCTTTGTCATGAGTTCAGTACAGAAATAATGACCTAACATTTTTCATAAAAAACGTCAGTCAATATTCGAACTAACGGAAGGTTATATTTGCAAACAAGTCATTGTATCGTCTATAGATTTTCCAAAATGTTGACTTCAAGCAAGATTGGTGATACTCTTGTAACATGAAAGTCTCACAAAAAACAATAAACGACGTTTAAAAAGTTCAAGTTCATTCGCAAATTTAGTCATTCTATCCAGTATGGTGTTTTAAGCTTGAAATAAAAAGAAATAGTAATATACAAAATACTTAACTTTAGAAACAGAAACCTCTACAATCATTAACTTGCAATGTTAAGTTAATCTGTATGAAGGAACACCTACAGTACCAACCAGACCCAACCTGACACAAAGCAGTCCCAGAGCAGTCCCGGGGACTGCTTTCTGGGACTGCTAAAGCAGTCCCAGAGCGGTCCCAGAGCAGTCCCAGAGCGGTCCCAGAGCAGTCCCACAGCAGTCCCAGAGCAGTCCCTCAGCGGTCCCAGCAGTCCCAGCGGTACCAGAAAGCAGTCCCAGCAGTCCCAGAAAGCAGTCCCAGCAGTCCCAGTGGGCGGGGTTAATTATTTTAATGGTCGGAGCTTACTCAGAATGAGATTACCAATAAACAATGTAACTATATAAAAGGCAGTTGAAATTGATGAGCAATTCTTTCTGAGTAGTGTCAACAAATATTTACAATTCTTACGCGACAGTCATTTCTGAACTGTTAAGAAAAGCACAGTATGCGTATAGAAACAAATTATAATTATTGAATGAAGAAGACGTTCACACATATTAATAACATGAATATTTAAACACAATTATTTGGTATATTAATTTTTAACCAAAATAAACCAATTTCTTTTTTTTTGTGATTGATATTGGTTCTCATATTTATTTTTTTATATAGAAAATTAAACTTGAATTGTTTACTTTATAACAGAATTAGCTTTAAAGAGATAATAATAATTATAGAGCAAGGCCGATTCCCATACTATACTCTGAATGCATTTTTCTTAAGTATTGGAGCTTTTGAAAAATTCTTTGTTAAACATTGCCGAGTATTATATTTCAGTCATGATTATTTTCAATGACTTCTTAATTAAATTATCTTTAGATTCTCAGTTTTAAGTGTTTTGTTATATAAATGTTCGAGTGTACATCTGTAAATCACGCAAATGGAACCCTCAGATTATGTTCAAAATTAATTAATCCCGAAATAAATTTATACACAATTATTGAAACTAAGATTTTTTGCAGGACATAGATTGAAATTAGTGTCAATGTTGACCAGCGTGTTCAATGATGTGTAACACTGTTACCCAAATATCATGCATTGACTTTCTGCTAATGCCCAAAGGCGATTGAAACCTCAGGTGTTGGCACCATTTTATACAATCCAGCTGTATTAACCGGCCAGGTAAACACAAACAAAGAAATAAGAAACAAGTCACAATTCCCGATATTTTCAAATGTTTATTTTTTAAATAAATGTACTCTTTTAATAACTTGTTTATAAATTAAAAACTAATTCATAAATAAATCCCCGAATGATTGTTCACATTGTTTATGTGACAGAAGAACGGTAGAATAATTTTATTTCATGGTCATTAAATAAATTATTAGGTTATATTTGAGGGTGGTAAAAAATAGCATGGAGTGCTCTTTTTTAAGCATGGTATTAGCTTTTTCCATTAAGGAAAAAAAATCCAGTACAGTACGTTCCTCTGAATACATGCATCTTACTGAAATAACAAGTTTGTTTGTTTTTAAATAGTGCTAATGCAAACTTTGAGTACATATATAATTTGAAAGCATTAATTTATTAAATAGGCCTAGATAATTATTTTTTTTCAAACAGCTGTATTGAAGTTTAATTTAAGGGATAAAAATCATCCCCTGACTTCCCTTTTTAACTACTTTTATTTTCTTAAAATTAATTCTAGACTACAATTGTGTAAATTTACAGCCCTCTTAAGACATTTAGTAATTACATGTATAACTATCTCTATTTATTTAATTTTTGTAAGAAATTAATACTTGTTTTTTTTTATATTTGTTTCTATCTTAAACACCTCTCTGCAGAAAGTAAACAAAACAACAACAAAGAGCTGCAAATTCAGAATACACAAGGGGCGGAGCTATCATGTCACTCAGAACCTTTTCCACACATGAGTGAACAAAGCAGTCCCAGAAAGCAGTCCCAGGGACTGCTGGGACTGCTGGGTCTGCTTTCTAGAGCAGTCCCACAGCAGTCCCAGAGCAGTCCCGTAGCGGTCCCAGAGCAGTCCCACAGCGGTCCCAGAGCAGTCCCAGAGCGGTCCCAAAGCAGTCCCGGGGACTGCTTTCTGGGACTGCTTTGGTGTCAGGTTGGGTCTGGTTGGTACTGTATTATTTATTGGCTTACTTGTCAAGTTAACACTTCCAGTCGTAACAAACTAATCAAGACTTAAAATGTTCTAAGAGGAAGTTTGATGCTTTCTTTTTGTCGTAAGATGTTCAAATTTTAAAATTTTATATAAGATGGAAAGATGAGGGATATATTTATCGGAAGCACATCTGCCTTTGTTTTAACATGCTACATGGCATGATCGAATAAACGGAAAAGTCCGTTAACAATTCCTTTTGAAAATAATGGTCTAAGAATTTAATTTATAGGAAAGGCGTCAATCAACTTTCGATTTACCGATTGACTGCGTTTACAAACAAGTTCATTGTATCGACCATAGTATTTGAAAAAGTTGATTTTAAACGATATTGTTGATATACCTGTGCCATTAACTTATTTGGCATTTGTCTGTCTCTTTTAGAAATTGTTCGCATGTAGACTATATTCTTGCGAATCGAATCATAAAGTTTAATGGGGTTTATGTCTCTATGCTGAGTTCGATACGCAAGAACATGCTCTACATACGAACAATTTCTAAAACGAGGTTATTGACAAATAAGTTGATGAAACAAGAATATCAACAGTCTCGTTTAAAGTCATCATTTCGCAATGCCTATGGTTGATACAATGACCTTGTCAGCAAATATAATATATCATTAAGTCAAATGCTTGTCATACTTATTCTTATGCCATTTTTACACACTTGTCTACGGATTTTTCTTTTACCCGATCATGAAAAGGAGCACACGGAGGGTGTGACATGCTCATTCCTCCATGGCACCTGATCCCACCTCTGATTTATTAGAGGTGCGTGTTTGCTCTGCTCCTGATTAGTATTGTTTGAATGGTCTTTTTAAGCTTGATTACTGTTCGTTATCTCCATATTTCATGTTTGCCATCAATGTCTTTCTCTAGTAAAACATCCAAATATAAAACAGATATGTCAGATTCTCTGGTGTTTTTTTTTTAATTTCGAGAGATTTATCGAATAATCGTAGGAATGAAAATAAATATTGTTAATTGATAAAATATCTATATATCTAAATGTTGAACTGGAGGCCTCAGAAAGGGACTTTTTCTTTCCATGCAGAAGTTTTTTTTTATTAATTCTGCTTAATAAGAATACAAAAACAGGTCTGCTAATAACAGGGCACAATAAGTACCAATGGGAATTCAAACAGATTGTTTGAAGACCTGATCTCCAAATATAACATAGATATTGTGAATAAGAAATTCAAGTGTCCTTTTAAGGTTAAACTCGTAGTATTTGTGTGGAATCCGAATATTTCTAACAAAATAAGTTTGCAGATGATCAATGACAAGGTATTCAAAACATGTATTTTTACTGAAGAGCAGTTGTCTATGATGTCAACATGTTTATGTTGAAATGATGTTATATTTTCTTTTACTTATAGATACGGTCTCAGATAACAATAAAACTGTTCTTATTTGAACTTAACATGCGCTGGAATATAACATCGATCACTCGTACCGGATTTCGTTTGATCTTTTGACGGAAGTTTGATACTTGCCACCAGCTGATTTAAAAGACCTTTTCTATGTGTACGAGCTGTACGATATCATTAAGGTAGCTAAAGGGTTTACAGCATGACAAAATCTCACAAGAAAACATATTCAGAATATTTTCAATAGAATTTACATTATATCTGAACTTAAAATTTATCAAGTATACCTACGTAATTTTGATGCAATATTATTGTAAAAGCAGTATAGTTTGTTTTTTATTCAAATAAACAGGAAAATGGTGTTTTCTGCAAATTTTAAAGGAAACATAGTTTGATGTCTTTGTGTTTTATATCATCACACATGGTTTCTGCTTTGTATTACATGTATTGATTTGAGCAGTACAAAAACTTTTTAAGGTCAAACTCAGGTTTTCAGTATTTGTTGAACATTAACTAAATTGACCAATGTATTTGTTGAACATACATTCATTAACTTGTGTGATATATGTGTCTAAAATAAATAATTAAGTGAAAAAAATATATCAAAATTTTACACATGAACAACTAATGTTTGAAATTTATGATAAACATATGTTCAAGACGTATTGTAAATATTATGCATAATCTTCAAATGATAAGATATGTTAATATGTTTAGATATGTTGCTGGGGACGTAACCGCTCGATATTGGATGTTCACTCCTCCATGCCAACTCTGTTTTCGGAGGTTCGTGCTCTACTCACAATTTGTATTGTTTAATTGGACTTTTGAGCATGATCACTGATCATTATTTTCAAATTTCATTGATAAATAAACTTATTCCTCGGGAGAGATTTAAAATAAATTAAATTGTTAAAATGGTTTCAAAGGACAGTAGTTAATTTGTGTTTTTAAACACATTTTTAACCTTCAGACATTGAGGTGTATTAAATAAACCGATTTCAGTATTTTCTGTATTTATTTATAATGAAAGTTGTATGAGGAAACCATTATTTTATCTATACTTCATAGAGCGATTTTTTTATCATTCTTATTTTTTTTTTAAATTTCTTTATCTATTTTTCAGTTAACTGAAAAAATAGTAACTTATTCATTGATTATAAGTGATGTAGCTTAGACGTTGGTTTTAAAATACAATAGCTAGTTAGATATGTAAGGAATTAGATGAGAGAGAGAGAGAGAGAGAGAGAGAGAGAGAGAGAGAGAGAGAAAGTATGAGTGATTGTTTCAATTTGTGGTTATTGAAGGTCTTTAGCAAAAGACATTGAAATTCCCTTTTGGAAATATTACTTAGAATATTGAATATTGTAAAGTGCCATCCTGACAACCTGCTTCAGTCCACTTATTGTAAATATTTTATTCACTTTCACACTTATATTATGTAGTTTCTATAAACCAGGATAAGTTAAACAATATAATAGCTCAGTCCAATCTTGAGTTCATTAGCTCTCGTCATTTTATTCAATATACAAAATTTCTTTGGAATAAAATTTGGAATTCAATACATATCATAGTAAGCGATCTTTGTAAACATTCATTGGCATATTTCTAAATCACTTCCATTTACATTCAATACATGCTACCAAAATGTGAGTAAAACAGAATCGTTGACAGACCGTGACCTCGATTAAATTGGTATATTTTTGCCTCCATTAACAATTGCTATTCTTTCTATGCATTACCAACTGTAAAATTGCACAACAATCAATCAAGTAGGATAAATCACATAGCTTTTTTTCAAATTACATGTACTAAAAACAACTTATAATGCCCTCCGCTTTCGTTATTTGTTTTTCTAACAGAAAACGGTTTTTACTGTGTAGACCAAATGAGCATATTAAGAATGTTTTTTTCCGCACTAATCTCCTTATTTTAGGTCATAAAAATAATATGGAGGATATAATAATTTTAAAAAATAAAGAATTCTTACCTTTTCTTCCGTCGGGAAAAGCATTCCGTCCGTCCTGTTAGAATATCCAGAAGTTGTGACATCCATATCCATGGTGAGGTCGACTTCCAAATTATAAAGTTCAATTGTTTAAAAATTCGGTGACGGGATCGTCAAAATTTTACGACCTCTTGTAAATGATGTTGTGATGTGTTATTGTCATAATCCCGACCCCTGCAGGGATTAACGCCCTCAGAATCGACACTCAGAGACAATGTTCAACTGTACTAATGGAATTCTACCCCGGCCGTAATGAGATTCAAATACTGGCTGTAAAATCAAATTTTATGAAATAATCACGAGCGTTCTTTTGCAGTTTTATGGCCGAATAAATACAATACACGGTTACAAAAGCTGGCCTTGATGTAACAATTTAGGTATTTATTTCAATTGAAGCAGCAACTCTAGCTGTCATCTCCGTCGGTTCTGGACGATAACTGGGTATTAACTTATAAGATATGCTGAGTAAATCGAAGCTAGCTACTTCCAAATCACGGCATTACTGCAGAAGTGTCTCCTCGCCATAAAGTGAGTATCTTATATCACCAGAGAGTGTTCGATACAGATTAATAACGAGGATTGTTCTTTTCATCATATATAATCTCTATGTTCTAGTAGCACAGGTTATTGATAAATATTTTCAAGTACAATACGGTAACCTTTATAGCATCTATGACAATCAGCTTAGGTATTTGCATCTTTATAGTTTATTGCAATTATTTAAGGTTTTCACAATAAGGCTTTTAAAAACTATGGCCTTTGAAATCATGAAAAATTCACTGAAGGAATAATTATACATAATATACATTTGTATTCTCAGGTCCTAAACAATTTTTTTTGAATGAACAAAATCAAAAGTCTATTTCATCTTACTTATATTGTTTTATGAGATAAAAATTAAATGAAAAATACCTTAGGATAAGCTGTTGTTGAATGTTCAGTTTTGTATGTCTTCTATATCGTCTCTAGCTTAATTCATAGGGTTATGAATTTCGAACATTCAGAATATATGTACAATTGAAGCATTATAAATCATAATTAAGAAAATTGCATGACGTTAATAAGAAACCATCAACTTCGCTTTTGTCATGAACAAGAATAATAACTAAGCGTAGGTTCCTCTGAAAATTTTCAGGCATTTTGTGTTTTTGTATCGAGACCGATCGAACAAAAAGATACTCAGAGCGATAGTGTATGCATGTCATACATTCACAAATCAGAGAGACATAACAGAGAAAAAATTATTAGAGTATAAATACCTTTGTAAGGTAAACATAACATTAAAAAAACACCCCAAAAAACCCAGTAGGTATGCACACATGATTTTTTTTTTTTTTTTTTTTTTGGCAATTTCTCTTTCTTCAACTAAGGTAGCCTGAAACATTTTTTTTTTGTCTTTGTTGATAGTCTTCAAAAAAAAATATTATTTTCAGTTAGGAGACAATTTCATACATTTATTCTCTGTGTGCATGAAAGAGAAAGAGAATTTTACAGATAAAGGGATTCAAAATAGAAATATCGGCAGAGATTATATTGTTAGCTGCAGACTGAAACCGTTATGTTTTGTCTTAAATATACGTTATGTAATGAATTTTAATTCAGAGTGAGAAAAATAATCGAGATCAATCTAACATGTGATGCATCGGGTAAAATAAATAGAGTTTGAAAAAGTGATGCTATTCTTTCACTTATTAAATCTAAACTCGTACCTAATTTTCGCATTACAGAACATTATTTTCTTCAGATTGCCAACATATTTTTGGCTTTTAAAAAATCAAAGCGGAAAGGCAAATCAATTATAGCTGGACTAGTGCTATTGCATGCGTTAACGTCAAGTAGACTGTTCGTTTTATAACATGTGCTAACAACAAGCAGATTGCTGGTCTTAAAACATGCGCTAACGTCAAGTACAAGGCTGTTGGTCTTGTATCATGCGCTAATGTCAAGCAGACTTCTGGTATTATAGCATACGCTAAGGATAAGCTGTTTGTTGGTCCTGTAGCATGCGCTAATGTCAAGCAGACTGCTGGTCTCATAGCATACGCTAAGGGTAAGCTGTTTGTTGGTTTTGTAGCATGCGCTGACGTCATGTAGACTTCTGGAATTATGGCAAGTACACTTAGATACAGTGCAGGGAACTAATTTTGTTACATAAACCAGCATCAGCATAAGAATTAGTAGCATCAGGATCGAGCTAGCATTAGGATCAGCATTTAAAAAACAGCATTACCAGGATCAGCATCAGCAAGCAAAGGATAAAACCAGCATTGACCTACATAAAATCAGCATTATCCTACTAGCATCACAAAATCAATGAGTTTTAATTCAGTAAAAAATTAAAAAAGAAAGAAAGAATATTGGTTAAAATATTCACATTATTGATACATAGCGAGATATTATGATCAAATAATAGTAAAAGGCACTTTTATTGCTTTAAACAGCAATGCTGAAATTCATTATCTACTTCCGGTAGCATGATGCTACTTCCGGTAGCATTGACCTAATTATAAAACAGCATCAGGATAAGGATAACTAGCATTAAATCAGCAACCAAAGGAAGCATTCAAATCAGCAAGCAAAGGAAGCATTCAAATCAGCATTGATGCTGTAACAAAATTAGTTCACTGCACTGTACACCAATTTGTCTACAGATTTTCCATTTTTCCTTATCATGACAAAGAGAACAAGGCGGGTGTAACCGGTCGGCAGGGGATGCTTACTCCTCCATGGCACCTTATCTCACCTCTGTTTTCAGTGGTCTACGTTGGCTCTGTTCATAATTTGCTTTGTTTAAATGGACTTTTGCAAATGTTTACTATTCGCTATCTTCACATTTCATTTTCATCAGACAATGATGATGTATTTTAAGAAGATTTATTTAAATGATGAATTTTAACTTGATAACCTAGTATATTTGAAAGAAATATTCGATTGTGAAGTGTATCAATTTACTTGTACGTTTAGTTTATTTCTCCTCAGTGTATTTCATAAAAATAATTTTGCCTTTGAACTACTAGATTTTTTTTTCTAATTATTTTTATAAGTAGGTTACGTTATGACTTGTTAAACTCAGGAAAAGAAGTCAATAAGAAGTAAAGAAAAAAAAAATAGCATCCTCCTCCCTAATGCAAGTGGAAACATTGAATTTTAGGCTTAAATCAATACATGAGTATTTTAAAAAGCAAATAAGTGATTAAAACACATAAATTCTGGCAAATACGTTCAAGCATTTTTATAACCTTTTATTCTATTTACGCTGTGCTGTTGATACTATATTCAATTCATGAAAAAGTCAAGCTCTAATTCAGTAAATCATTGCAAATTAAGAAGGTGAATAAAAAGCAGAACAAACACGTACCCTTAAAAACACAAGAGGTAATCAAGGTGCTATTATCAAAATTATGCTCCCTTGAAACTTTGCTTTAATTAATTTAATTTTAATCGTATCTCCTGAGAGGAACATCAAAATTTAGAAAAATGTTACCATGGTCATTTTTTGGCAATGAAAAATTAAAAGTTGAAATTAGTTTAACATTTTAGAAAATGCATGTGGTAAAAATTGTTTCACGTAGTAAAACGTATTAGGTTGAATGTATTGTATTTAAAATAGTTACACAAAATCTACTGACATATGTATTAAAACATCACTGAGGTCAAACAAATTACAAAAGAGGATCATCAATTTTAACCAGTATTTATCATCTCAAACAATTCAATGATTTCAAATTTTATTAATTGCTTGGCTTGAAAAATTGTGCAAACACAATATTGTTGCTAAATAAACCGTAAAAATGGACTTAATGCACGATATATTTGCATTTAATTCATCTCAATAATTGTGTATGCGAAATTTTCGCCTTATACCAAGTTTATCTCCATTAAACTCGTAAACCATGTCAAATGCACTTTTGATGTCCTACAATGGTGTGGAGATCTAATGGTCACTTGAAAATCAGTGTCTCCGGTTTCTTGACGATATTAACACGTTCTTGTCAGAACGCACATATCGATCCTAAAACTGAGGGGATCATCTCCATTTTCTACTTTATTTAGTAAAATAACAACTGTTGTAAAGAAAATTGGATGGAAAGCGTAAATATAAAGAACAGTGATTGGTCTCAAAAACCCCAGACCGGTCACACCCGGCGTGAGCACTATATTTTAATCAGGTAGAAGAAATATTCCTTAGTCAAATTCAGTGTAAAAACAAAGATCAACAATTGGTATGGAATATGTCTGATTTGATTTGAATTACTCCCCTTATGTAATTGTACTTTTAATAATATCTAATTTTAAAGATATACGTCTAGGAAGTTTTATAAATTAGCAATACATGTAGTTATTTTTTCTTTGTATGTTGATTTGATATATCCCAGTAAACTCAAAATCAAAGACAACTCAGACTACTAAATCAGTTCCATATTTAGATGTTTTACAGACTATAGACGTTAATGACCAACTAATAACTAAATTATAGGACAAAATGAATGAATTCAGCTTTCGATCGCTAATTAGTAACAGTCAACTATCATCTGCAAATGGTGTTGATGTCTCCAGGCTGATTGGTACGAGCATGCTGTGATTAGAAAACGTGACAAGCTCCTGACAAATAAGTTAATGTTACAAGACTTTCTACAGTCTCGTGAACACTGAGCTTTTTGCAAGTTCTATGGTCATGTTGACGACATCGTTTGCAAATACAACCTTTCGTTGAGTCAAATTTTGACTGAAATGTTTCATACCAATTGTTAAAATATTGTTTTTATACAACTTTGGACAACGGTTTACTCAGTTTTCCTGATTAATACAGAGAATTCACGGTGGGTTGTGTTCAACAGGAGATTCTAAGTCTCCTTTGGAACCTGATTCCATCTCTAGTCTTTCCAGGAATCCGTTTTTATGCCTTGTTCACAGTTTGTATTGTTTCAAGGATTTATAAGATCGATCACTTTTATATCTATCCTCCTCCTTTTCATTGCATATAAAAACTTCATTAAAATTTTTCTCTTTACTAGCAGAATTCATATATTTTGTGAGCATTTTAAAATTCCTTCTCTTCATCGTACAAGATCAATCACGCCCTAAGTTATG